TCACTTTGTAACTTTATTATTATTTAGCAGATAATAATACCACGATTACATTTTTCAATTAAACAAAATTAGCCTCGTTAAGATATACATGGCTTTCAATTTGATCGTCATTAAAATGGATTATATTTATCTGCAGTTATTACCGCTCAACCATCACGTAATCTACTAATTGGAACGATACTTAGCGTGGCATCTACTCGCCGTTTATCACGTTTATTTCGCTACTTGCAAATTATGAGATATCATCGCGCGATAATCAAATCGGCTGGAGAGACATTCTCCGTCCACGTAATCCTTTTGCAAGAAGCAAACGGAGTCAAATCACTGCAAATTGAGCCGCCACAATATCCGTCGTCGTGACTGCGGGACGAAGGGAAAGGACGCTTGAGAGACGGTGGAAACGCGGTGATACGGCGCGCGGCGGCAGATTATTAAGATAATTGCATAGGAGAAGCGCGTGATGAGGGGGATAGCCACGAAGTAGGAATGCATTTTGCTTCACGGGCGGGTCGCTTTCACCTGCGGCGATTCCTGAGGCACGAGGCGACGGGACAAAACCTTATTGTCTCCACTATCAATTAGTGTCGCTCGTGACAATCTCACTTTTCTAGGACTCCCCCGCGTCTTTGAACTAGTTTTTGCAGAATAAAAATTCATTTGACCAATTGCTCAAGCGAGAAAAAGCCTACTACGGCGATTCTTAGAAAAAAATTACTTCTTTATAAAGAAAATATTTTACGCAAACAAGACGTGCATTTTACACACTATATAAGATATTTTACAATAGATTCAAGGATAATCCTGATTAGCCGTTTGGAGAATATCTACTGTCGTTTATTGTGCTCGTCAAGTAGACAGATGAGAGAAACTTTTTGTGCGAAATTGTTTTCACAGAAACGCCAATCATTGCGCAAATTACGGTAATGTCTTCTTATAGTATATTTCATGAATTTACCTTGTGGCATTTTATGAAGATTCTGATTACATCTCTGCCGACATTTCACGAGATAGCCGGGACCTTCGTATAATGCCGCGTTTCGCGAAAAGCTTATGACAAATACACGCACGGAAAGTCTTGCACAGGCTAGCTGGTGCTAATTTTTTTACAAATCGCAACAGTGCCAGTGAAAGGAAAGGCGAAGGTCTAAATAGGTGAGAATAGCTGTGTACTGATTGTGAGTGTCTGCATAAAGGTACTTTCATGGATTCATTTGGTAAGTCCTGTAAAAACAATATTATATCATCTTTATGCATTATGTACAAATAAAACTGTATATATATATATATATATATATATATGTTATAAGATTTATTATAAACATATGTTAAAATCTTTAAGTTTTAAATTTGAATTAAGATAAAGATGTTTACACCACTTGTTTGTAACATTTTTATAGATCAGAACAGGTTAAATAAATTCATGAAAGTAAGTAACATATTATATATCGTCCATGGAGATCTAGTTGCGACTGTGTCTGTATACTGTATATTTTCATTTAAACATTCACTAAATAGTTATCTACATTGGAATGGCTCGATTATTATTTTCAAATTAATAATAGTTATAATATTTGCGAGGTCCATCTGATCACATTTCTCTTTCTCTTTTTCTGCCTGCTAATCTGCTTCCGGCTATCAAGAAAAAAAGTTTAGTTTCTTTAACTCTTTTTCGGTAATCACGGATACGATAGAACCAATATAGTGACTAGACATATTTTACTTTCACGGCTAACATTACCGGTGAATACTTTCTACGACAAGGAGAAATTATGTTTTTCCAATCAGCATAGGCTTGTAGCTGTGTTCCAAGGTTGTTCACGACAACATTACGCAAATTGATTAACGTCCACTTTCGGGAACAATGACGCGGTGTAAAGATGCTCCAAGTGCTCTTATTTGCGACAATAGATTCAATAGGACGAGTCGTGAATTTCTCTCGCTTTCACCCTCGTTTCAATAGCTATTTGCTTACTTTACGCACCCGCAGAACACCGCGGTCAAGTGAGCCAATCAATAAGAGGCACCGAACGAATTGAAGAGGAATGTCAAACGTTCTTGCGTACAGGATTAAACCATCATTTAAGTGTTGTCTTAGAAAAGCATCTGATCAAAAGACATCTACAAAAATTGAAATTATATACAGATTGTTTCGTAACGAGAATAAGAAAAATATTAACAATCTTAAGATGGTTATTTCAAAAATATCATAATATCGTGGATTCCAAATTAAATAATTACTATAAGAAATTTGTATATATATATACATCTGTACATGCCTGAGTTTTGTGGTAAGAAGTTCACAAGTATATTTTAAATATTTGGTTTTTTGCCTATCAAGAGTGTCAAGATTATTTTACATTACTCATTGCAAAAGAATAAGCTGTGCAGCGTACACCTAATGAAGATCTATTTGCAGGGCATTAATTTACTCGTAAGATGAATTTTTTATCATTTTATGCAGGACAGTATGAAATGTCCGGCGTCTATGAGGCCGTGCGAATGTTGGAGGCATGCAATCATCAGCACCCCGTATATCCGGGCATTCAATTCGAAGACTTGCCTCGTCCTTCCACAGATTCGTCTTATTCCAAATCTTACTCGTCCTTATTTCTCGCTATTAAAAGGATACGTTTCTTAGGATACAATTCTTGCACAGATTTGACATAAATATATGTGTTTTGAACAATTATATATAATAAAATAAATCCCCGATGAAAATTTTACAGAACAAAAAATTCCACACTCTTTTTATTGTTTAGAACGTAACTACTAGGACTAGAATGCTAGCATCTAGTTATAATTTTTAGATTTTGAGTATTGCAATTACCTGATTTGTTAAAGTATCAAGTCTGGAAATTATAAAATTAAAAAATTTCAATTTTTATGTTTAAAAATTCTAAATCTATCTTTCAAATTACTGCATTAGTTTTAATAATCCTATGGCTAATTCTTTTGAAATTTAATATAGCGTAAAAAAAACCTGGATTCAGCTACAAATAAGAAATATAAAAAATAATGTTTTGCAAAAAATTTACCAGGAACAAGTGTAATACAAGATACTGTTAAATTTACTACAGATAATAATAGTCATTTTCTATCAATTCAAGTTTGACTCGAACATTCGAAATCAGGAGGAAAAAATCGATGTTCGCGGGGAGTTGCGAAAATTCCGCGAAGTTAGGCGTATTTCTTCCGACAAAATCATCTTCCATTCTTCAGAAGTACTGTCGGATGCAACATCCTGAGAACAGCGTACGGGTCACGAGAAGAACCAACGATATGTTCCAGACGCGGCTCTGATAGCTGATGCGTTTCCTAATCCCGGCGCTTCGTTCCTTCCTGCGGGCGAGAGAATCGCGCAGTCGGCGCATATTTCCGTAAGAGTCGACGAACTGACTGACCCACGATTCCAATCAGAAGTTGCATAAGAACGAGTAACACGCATACACCTCCGTTCGCCTCTCACTTCTTTCGCTCGCCTTGCGAGCTCTGGCCGAAGCGGAGCAGTTCTCTCTCTCTATCATAAAGCCCATTCTATAGACGATCTATAGATCATTATAAAAATTGGTACAAAATTTTGTAACTTGAAATGTACCGCATATGTAGAAAACATCTGTAGATCCGTATTGTAAGTTGTATTTCTAAGGTCTAAGATAAGCTTGATGCTCCATCTGACTTTTGACGTTCTCCTGCAAACACTCTACCGGAGTAGGTTAAGGCTTTGAAATTTTATGTCAATATCCGCCCATTCTTCACTCCTACACAAACTAAGTAATAAAGCTAAAGTGGAAAGTGTTCTCTAAAATCTAATAATTTTGTGTCTGCTATATCTTATACTTTATAAAAATTTTGTATTCGGTATATGTATAAAGTGTATTATAAATTTTCACCTGTCTTGTGTATACTCTCGTACTATAACGTGTTATTATTATTATAAAAATTCTTTTTTTTTTAATTAGTTTGTAAAAAATCCCTCTTTACCAGACTATAATGAAGAAAACGCCATGTATACTTGCATTTTAATCACCTACATAAATGAAATACTAACAGAGTAATATCAAATCTATCACACCTGGCATCTATTATTTTCTGATCGATGAGTTACAATATGGACATTCAATGTATCTGATGCATAAAACATCGCAGTTCGAGTTTCAAACATGATGCGCAACTGGATCGCCACGAAAAGAAATCAGAGCAGTGCATGTTAATATCGCGGGACGCAATTTGAAAATGATTTATTTCGATAGCGCGATGATTTCCAGCTTTTCTGTATTCATACGAAACGGAGATCCATAAATAATACTCATTGTCGATACAGCTTTTGGAAATGGTTTCCTACTGCCATAAATTCTGAAAGATATATCTCCATATTATACAACTCCATATTATACGACTTATTCTTTTATCCAAAGCAAAATTTGTCGATGTTTTCTACAGTGTAACAAATTTTCTTTCGATATTTCTATAATGTGACAGAGCATTCATTTACTAGAATCTTGTTTCCCGAAAAAGGTCAAAAAAGAAAATAACTTCAAAATTATTCGAAAACCGTCTCTTCGGATTAATTCTGATATAGGGCAGGGACAATAATTCTGAATACAAGCCAGCTGAAATTCATCCCTCGAAGTGATATCCAGCGTGCACTAACATTGTGGGACCAATCGAAGGAGAGGCTTTCTCCTGGATCACGGTGGTACCCGGGTTCCTGCCCGCGAGTTCCCCGTCGTTCTCTGGAGGGGATATCTATATAGCCTGTCCATTCTGGGACAGCCCGTTCAAACTGCTCGTGTTCCTAAGACCGCACGTGTACCGCCGTGTCGACGAAACATCGTATAACATTCGACAATTTCGCTCCGAGCTTGTGAGACGAACGGAGACGACTCGAAGTGACAGGATAATTGGGTCCCAATTACGATAAAATCGGGGTACAGTAAGGGGACACGTGTGCCGGTGGTGCAATGTGAACGAGTGCGGGGTACGCGATCAGTAAACAAAGCGGTATCGTTTCGTGAAGTTCGTAGGTGTCGAGAGAAAGGGAGAAAGAGAGAGAAAGAAGCGAGAGGAATCGACAGTAGGTCGAGGGTGGTGCTGTGACCTAGTGCGGAAGTACAGCCACCCTGCACAATGGTGAGTTCGCGAATATTGTATAAGTTTGTAGTGTGTTAAAAATCCTCCAGCTCTATATAGTTTGCACGAATTGCAGCATTAATAATTTGTGACTATAATATAGATATAAAAAATAATAGATAATATAGAATATTTTCGAATTCTATTATACTAAATTAGTATAATTACACGTTTCTTTAAGGAAGCCAAATATCAAGGAATGTTACTTTCTACTGTTAATCATGTTTAGAAAGTTATTTTAGGAAATTATCTTTTGCGGCATCTTTTACTTTTATATGCAAAAGAATTTTCTATGTTGATATATGTATATATATGATAAGAATCCGATAATTAACTCATATTCTTAAAAAAATATCGAGTATAATAAAAGAATTTTTTAAAAGAATTAGTTTCATATAAAATTTTCTAAAGTATAAGATCTAATAGGTTAATCACTTTAACGTTTATTATGTTCATCGAATGGCAAAATAAATGGCTATTTAATTTCCTGCACAAAATTGGCACAAAGAGAATCCAATCTGCATGTATAAATCTGCATGGATTATAGTTTGCTGAATTATACACCTCCATTAACAGAACGTACGTAATTAACAGTAGAAAGTAAGTTTCTGGTTTCTGGTTAGTGTTCGACCTCTTTAGAAAATAAAACTCTGTTTAACTCTGTTTAATTCTGAAGCTGTAAACTTACTGTTATTCATTACAATAAATAATCTTTTTATTTCGTGTACAGTGTGGATATGACTTAAAATTTGTATTTCATGCTATTTAAATAATTATTTAAGTTAAATTCAAGTGTACTGAAATGTACTTAAATTTAAGTACACCTGTATGTAAAATATTGAAGCCATCTCTTTTTTTTAAACTCCGCGTGAGTCTCTGTAATTCCATCTGTAAATTATTTCATCAACTTTTTCGAGAAAAAGCTTATATTTTAGAGAAAATATCGAAGAAAAAATAATAATACATAAAATATATAAAATAATATATAAAATATCGTTTAATTCTAGATTTTTTAGAACCATAATTTTGCAAGTCGTTCTAACGGTGTCGAAATATATATGTAATTTTTTTAATTTATCCCTTTCGACATACTGAAGCAATCCGAAATATCCAAAACATCTGCAATTGCATTTTTTTCTCTCGAACAGCGAGATAATTGTAAAATAGACCAGTGTGTCGATGCGTCTCCCGCATTACTACGCTTTCTAACTTACGCTCTGCATGCTGATGCTGTAAAATTTCACAGTACATAATTTACGGCTACTAAACAGCTTAAGAAATACCACCGGATATTAAATAGCGATAACATTCGAGAAGTAAAAACATCTCCCTACAGGCATAACTAATAAAAAATTTCATTGCAGATAATATCAATAAATCGTTCCACCTTAAAAATTTACACATGTGAAGACATAGGTTTTATACTTATTCCGTCCAATCAACTATAATTGGGTCATAGTATGCGTCATAGTATGGGTCATAGTATGTGTGTAATTTACTATTCTTTTTTTCGCATTAATGGTTATCCTGAATACAGTCTGTATTCAAGTCTTCATGCCTAAACACAAATCTTACTAAAGAATTGCGGTGTATTATGAAATCAAATAAGCGATCACGTACAATGTGGCAAAAAAATATAAACTGTATCAAGTTTTAATAAGCGTGTCGAAATTAAGCGACAAGCGTCCATTCGACGTGAACGCGTTAAGGATCGCCGAGTCTATTAAAAAGGAAGAAAGAGGAAAAAATGGAAAGAGAAAGCAGCGCAAGTTCTTACGCGAAATGTCATTTCGCACGTATCGATAACGATCGTCGGCGCTTTTCTTCCTTAAAGCACGTTCCACGAGTATTGAAATCTCGTTCGAGGTAGCACAGTTAGACAAGATTGTATAACTTCGATAAATATAGGTATATAACCAACGAGTGTTGCGTGAAAATGGAGACATTCGCGGTTAACTATTTTTTCTTCCTCGGGAAATAAGGCGAATCGAGTGGGAAGAATGGCAAAGCGATAAGAGAGATAAAGAGAAAGAAAGACGGTCGCTGACCTCCTGAAATGCGGCATAAGGAGCGAAGAGCTGTTCACACACTGACCCGCATTTCGTTCCCGCCGGCGGATAATTCCAAGACTTTTGCCTATTATTCGATTTTCCATGGAGGAGGCGTCTCCTTTCTCTCGGCCCGGGCCGTTTCAACGGAGTATTCGAGTGAAATCTGAATATGAGTTCAATCTCCGATCGCGTGATTTAATGCCCGAATTATAGTTCGCGGCCTACTTGCATCCATCACGCGGTGTGAAATTTGTCCAATCTATATAGGCGAAGAAAAACATTCCATCTCTGATTATATAAAAACTGTGCATTTTTCTTCTGTCTTAAAGCCATTTAAATATATTAATCTGATACCCAGACTCGAAGGGTTCCAAGAAGATATACATACCTACTTGAAAGACCTTGAAAAATACATTCTAATCTGATAATAGAATTTGACAAAAATTAATTGCCTTTGTAAAATTTATCATTCTAATTGACATTTTCATATACGAAATATAAGAAACATCAAATTATGTAGGATTTAGATAGGATTCTGTCTTAAAATTTATAGATCCATTTTTTAAGCATTAGGAGAAAGATATGATTTCAATTATTCCGTATCTTAAGCTCTTGCATACGAAAGAACAGAAGCTTAAACTAACATTCCGCTTTTTGTAGGAAATTGAATGCGGCAATTAAAAAAATTACATAATAAAAAAACGTAAACACAACAGTATATAGTTTTACCTCTTTGAAAAAAACTCGGTATTATGCAATAACTGCATAACAGATCTAAAATTAATATGTGTTGGTCTTGTATTTTAATTTAGAATGGAATTAAACATTATGCTCGTATTTATATGCAACTAGGTCGAAATTTATCTTCCTAAATTGGACAAATTTCATGTTTCGCCGCAGATTCATTGTGCATGACGTTATTCAGCATGCCAAGTACCTTCGTATATGTTTAATCCTAATTGATGATATAACGAATGCATATGCACGCGCTCATTGATTAATTAAATATCCGCATATGGTCTTGAGAGAGAAGGCAATTCATTTTCGGATCGAGTGTTTTAAAATTAATTTAAAGTATTCAGAACGGAATAAGTGAACCATAAAATGATTTTTAATGTAATGTTTAATTTTTCAAAACAAAATGGCGATTAATATTTCTTTAATATGACATCTTAACGTAGTATTAATAAATACGATTAATATTCCTTTAATATGACATTTTAACGTGTTTCAAGAAGATTAATTTCAATCGTTAAGTCTTCAGCGCAATATATCGTAATCTTCTAAGATATTATTAACGTTAACTCTAAGCATTTAATTACAGAAAAAAAATACTGTGATGCGACTCATTATTGTAGTATCTAAATTTACATTATAAATCCTACAAAGCTGCAAAGTATTTTCAAAGTTTCACGCCGAGGTATATGACGTCAAAATAGTTTTTCTATGCTGTAAGGTCAGCCGTAGGCGGAAATTCTTGCAACAAAAGTTCGAACTAAGTGGCACGTAACCAGGCAAAGAAAAGAGATCTCCGCCTCCGGCTGCTTAATACTTCCATCGCGTGTCGCTCTCGTGAGCAAAATGAAACTAGGAAAAATTTGCGATCTCCACTGCTCTTCTTAATTACGTTTTGCTGCGACGAACTCACGCGTCACGCTGTTAACACCAAGCGAGCAAGTTTTGCTTTGTCACGAAGAGAGAAAGAATTTCTTTCGCGAAAAGTATGCAGAAACACGATTCTTATGCAATAAAAGTTTTGTCAAGCGCAAAAGGTATTTAAATTACAGCGGCAAGAAAGACGTTGCTGTGTTTTATGATAAATTAAGCATAATTATCTGACAAGTGTAGGAACAGAATTTCTGAAATATAGATCCTTTAAACGAAGTTAATTATGTCTTCTTCTGCAAACAAAGACGAGAAAGCTGACAAAACTCGTTTGATATAGTTAGAATTAGTTATGTCACGATACTTCCCTGTGTGCCTACCGCGTCTATAGTTCATAAAAACTCGCACACGGCGTGTGAACAATGCACACAATCGCGACTCATGCGCGACTAATTCCGTAATCGTCCTCCGCGCTAATCTCATCTCAGTCATTGTCGCACAGGTGTATCCTATTCAAGGATAATGACCTCGCGACGACGCGATGTCATTGTCCAAACGGTCGCGCGACGTGTCTCAAAAGTTGATGACGAGACTGATTCAGATTAATTAAATCCAAAATCTTATTCGAACGAAACGGAACGATCTTCGAATGAAAGAAAAATACAGAATACTCTTGCGCGATCAGATAGACATATTACTCCTGTCTTCCAGACATCTAGACTGAATATCACATCGCACGACTTTTCGTCGAGCGTTACACGTTACGTTTCCCTCATTTCCGGCTCGGTGTTGCTTGCTTCTTTTTATGGTCGGAAGTCGCACGAGTAAGCGATCTATCGCGATAGCCGCGGAGAACCGCCGTCCGAATCGGTCTCGGTGCAGCGCGCACGAGTGGGAGCCAAAAGTTCGAAGGCGAAAGTAAAGGTGGAACACCACCGAAGAAAGTCGGCGACAATAAGTGGCACGCCGATGAGGCGTCGGCCATCCGACCGGATCGAATATGTGAAACCTGTCGGTGATTTCCCGGTGACGGGAAATGATCAAGTAGAGATCAAGAGAGAATTGCTGGGAGGCACATTACATGGCCTACGTTCACGTGAAACGAGTATTTCAGACGATAAAGTTGTATCTATCGCTAAGAAATAAATGCGCGATTGTTCAACCATTAGAAAACGAATCTGCAAATATCCGGATATTCGCGGCATCGCTTTTCCCAGTGAAAACAATCGCTCGTTTGCGTATTATTGCCCTGCATGTTGCATGCGGATCTTCATCAGATAAATTTGCCGCAGCTGTTATATGCAGAAAGAACAATAGCTCGTGGAAATTATAATGAGATTGAAC